CAGAGCAACGGTCTGGCCGAGGTAACAAATCGAATCATATTGCAAGACCTCCGAACAAGAATAAGCGATGCTAGAGGTTCTTGGTCCGACGAGCTGCCTTCTATACTTTGGACGTATAGAACAACTCATAGGACAACCACAGGAGAAACCCCTTTTATGTTAGCTTATGGCATTGAAGCAATGGTCCCAGTGGAAATTAGACTGCCAAGCCATAGGAGGCTCGTGCCAGAAACCTCGGAGCATACAACTGAACATCTTGATCTCTTGGAAGAAGTACGGGAGCAAGCCGCTATAAAAGTGGCCTCTTACCAAGCAAAGACAGCAAAACATTTTAATCGCAAAGTCAAGGCTCGGAGGTTCAGAGCTGGCGATTTGGTCTTGAGGAGGGCCGAAGCAGCAGGCTACCCCCCAGGGAAGCTCGAGCCCGTCTGGGAAGGGCCCTTTGAGGTATACGGCAGGTTCGCAAAGGAGCATACAGCCTAAGAGACAGTTCGGGTAGACCTCTTCCGAGGCCCTGGAATGCCGACAATCTGAAAATATATTACAAGTAAAATTCCCGACGCCTTTGAGGAGATTTTCTTTTTCTGCATTTTATTTCTAGTTTAGCGGGCCTGCGTGCCCATGCATGTTTTCCATTCTCTTTTGTAATGAACTACGTTCGACTTGATCCCGTTTGGGTACGTAGGCAGCTTGGATGCAATATAAATCCAAGTCCAGTCCAAACAATTAATAAATCCAAACATCGGGTATAACAGCCCCTTTAAGCCTTACTCTCAAGCATGCCCCTTCAAGCCTTGTCTTTGACAAGCCAATATAAGCCTTGCCCACAAGCAAGCCCCTTTTAAGCCTTGTCTTTGACAAGCCAATATAAGCCTTACCCACAAGCAAGCCCCTTTAAGCCTTGTCTTTGACAAGCCAATTTAAGCCTTGCCCTCGAGCAAGCCAATTTAAGCCTTGTCTTTGACAAGCCAATTTAAGCCTTGCCCTCGAGCAAGTCCCTCTAAGCCTTGTCCTTGAGCAAGCATGTAAGCCTCTCACAAGCACCAAAATCCTGGAGCTCATAATCAGCACAATAGTGCAGCACAAGTACAAATCCCGAGGACATACATCCCGACCATATATCCTTGTATTTTTATCAAAAGTCGAAAAATGAGAGCTCGGGAAGACTCATGTACAGAGGTCGGTCACAATTATTCGGGGACTACCATTCCTTGAACATTAATCCTCGAGTGTTAAGTGTGTAGAAAACTAAACTGTCCTCGGCATTATCACTTGTTTAAAAAATTGAGTTATTCTCAATCGTTGAGATGATTAAGTCGTCGAAAGTAATTAATCTTCTCTAGTCGTCGAGGTTACTTGTCCACGTGCTCGGGGTTCACACTTGGATGTTCCAAGATAATTTTATTATTTAGTCCTCGAAGTAACTTGGTTAATGCTCGGGTTCAACACTGATGTTCCCAGGTTGTTTTACAGTTTGAGTCCTCGGGATGAATTTGTGTACGTCATATTCAGAAGTATTTTTCACAAATTATGTCCTCGAGGTGTTCAACTACTATAGGCGTCGAGTTATTTAACCATCTTACGCCGGGCTATTTGAATGATCGAGATACCAATACACAGTAAAAGGAAAATACTTGATCGAGTAAAATACATGTTCAAATTACAAAATGGAAGGGCTATCGTCATACAAAAACACAAAAAAAAAAAACTACTAATCTAAGTCCTCGGCCCTTTCCCCCGAGGCTGTGCTCCCCTGCTCCTCCACCGCATCCTCGCCGTCGACGTCGACCTCTTGGTCCTCGACGGTTTCCTCGGACTCTGACAGCTCGAGGGTATCAGCAATCTCGGGGATGTTCTTTAGATCCTCGGGGTTAGCATCGGGCTTCGATCTCAAAAATGCCCGAGCTTCCTTGAAGGCATGGAAGTACGAGCCCATGGCATACTCTCCTTTCAGGCTGTTAAACTCCTCAGACATTTTAAAGTCCTCGATCGCAACCCCTCGAGCTTCAGCCAGGCGAGTCTCAAAATCAGCCTTCAAACGCTCGATCTCGAGCTTTAAACCTTCAGCGTCGGCCTTAGCAGTTCCAGCCTCTTCTCGAGCTCTCTGGGCATCATTTTTCGAATTCTCGAGCTCCTTCTGAAGAAGAAAGCGTTCAGCCTCCAAGTCGGCTATCCTCTTCTCCTGTGCTCGAGAAGAGTCCTCGAGTTCGGTGGTCTTTTGGGCCTCGTCTTTCCCCTTCAGAGAAAGGCCTCGGGCAATGCTCAAAGCCTACACCATACAAACCCGAGCTTGAGTAATCACAGTGTTTAAACCTTTTTAAATCAGAGTAAATAAGGCGAGCTTACCTTCAGAGTAAGGGATTCCAGAGCCTTCATGCCCTCATCAAACCGAGGTCCTTTCTATACTTGTCCACGATGCTTGACACCAGAGGACACCAGTCAGGCTCCTGATTCTGGAAAGAGGGCATAGGCCTAACCTCATCATCGAGGTCAACAACCTCGGGAGTACTCCTTGGCCGAGGATGTGATCGAGGTGGACCAGTAGGAGTCTCAGTGGCCTGTGTGGTCGGGGTATGTCCCCGGGCAGAAGTTTCCCCAGACCCACTTCTGATATTCTCGGGGCCTGGGTCCCGAGCTCTCTTCTTCCCTCTCTTCTGCCCTGGAGCTCGAGCTTGAGGGGTCTTTAACTTTTTGGTCACGGCCTGTCTGAGGGCTGAAGGATCAAAAGTTATCTCTGCAAAAAAGAGCAAGTCATTAGAACGAGCACAATTATAAGTTCAAAAGACATATCAGTAAAGAGGAAGGCAAAAAAGTCCTACCCTCAGTGCCTTTCACATCCGCGAGATCGAGAACGTCATCCCCGAGGATGTCATCTATATCATATACAAGAGGCTCGAGGTTCTCTAACATTCCCCTATGCCTCTCTAAAGATTCAAAATAGGCCTGGCCTTCGCAAAATCGGGGAGTGTCGGGCAAAACCCACCTAGGGCTAAAAGGAAGGTCGCTATCCTGAGGTATGACATAAAACCACTTTTCTTTCCAACCTTTTAAAGAACTGGGCATCCTCGGTAATCTAAATCCTCTTCGGGATGAAAGGTAGGCAAAACAAGTATATTGAGGAAGCTGTTTCAGGTCGAACACCATCCTACAAAGATCAACGTATGGGTTAATTCCTAGGTATCTACAGGCTATAAAGAAATAGGTAAGCATCCTCCACCCATTTGGCACGAGCTGTCCAGGGCTCATATTATGCTCGACCAATAGGGCCACAAAAAAGGGATGCAGAGGCCATCGAAATCCCCCCTTAAGTGAGTCCCCAAAAATCACGAACTCTCCATCCCGAGCAAAGGCCATCCTATCCTCTACCCCTGGCGTCCTAACGTCGCATTTGGGCATGAACCCATGCTCCCTAGCCGTCGATATCGCTAGATGTTCTTTAAATTTACAGGGGACCTCGGGATACCTAAAAGGGGTCGGGATACTTTGTGCCCAAGGTTGGGCATTAATTGGGACAGCCATAGGTATAATTGAACAACCTATGTCCTCGGGAGTACTCCTCGAGGATGATGAGGACGAAGTGTCGCTACTGCTACTACTAGACATCCTGACCTAGGTAAAAAATACCTAAAGAATAACTTAAAAACTCGAGGTCTTACCTTAAAGTCGACGTCTAAAAACTCAAAGTCCGATCCCGACGATTAGC